CTTCAAGTATTATAATGCAGAAGAGAAGAAGAAATATTAAAAAAAAAAAGATTATTTCAAAAACGAATCTTTTATGCCATAACTAAAGTATAAATGATCTTTAATGAGCTACAATATATAATGAATAAATCCGTAAATGCTCAAATAATCGTTCAAACTACGAGACCATTGAATTATCAACAATATAATTATCTTTCATTGTTTAACAAATAGTCTATCTACTCTTCTCTCAATTTCTTCAATTTCTTTCTTTATTATGCACCCCATACCCATCCCGTGGGCGGTGGTGTAAAGGATTACAGAGGCACATAATCGGTTCAGGAACTGAACCCTCTAGTTCGTTTAGCTAAGCAAATAAAAAATTTTTGACGCTAGTTACAAAATTATTAATGTTATATATACATGTACACATTCTCATACATACATGTACATATATTCTCTCTCATCATTAAAACTCATCAAATCAACTTATTAAACAGAGCAAAGATATGGTGTTTTGAGTGTAAACTATGAGATGAACGTTCTAATAACACGCAGAAGGGAGTCTTATAGCAACCAAGTCACTACAGAGCTCCGTAAGATCAGACAGAAGGTGAATATATTTGCATATCTTAAGCTTTACTGGTATTAATAATGTGTGAAGGGGGGTAGGGGGGGGTGGGTAGTGGTACAAGGAGGCCTAAGTGAGATATATCCCAGAGTTCTTGCTCCAGATGAACTTTGTTCACCCCGGGGACTGTTCAGTATGGAGGTAGACTAGTTTGATTACTGATATCACTGATGGAGTGGTATGAGTACTGTGTACACCAGTGGGGGGTAAGTCTTGCTAACGCAGGTTCGAATCCTGGTCGGGTCATAGAGTTTGCAGGGATTTATTTTCTTGGGAACCTTATGTATATGTATAATGTGTATATACATACACATTATTATTATATATATATATATATATATATATATATATATATATATATATATATATATATATATATATATATATATATATATATATATAGTCAACTCGGTCATAGATATTTCATCGAATCACCTCACTTTATGGGGGCTACGTGAGCATCGGGGATCGAGTGTCGACCTGCAAGAAGTGAGGCCGTCGTTGTACCGAAGACCAGATCGTGAACTTGGTTGTGGGGAGGGAGGAGGGTAGTGAGTGTGATGGAGATCGGTCAGAGTGAGTGATTACACATCTTGGTTGAAAAAGGTGAGTAAATATAGGGGGTGAGTGTGGAGATGAAGAGGATGTGAGTGAGTTAAGTGCTGAAGGGGTAGTGAATATAAGGGGGTAAAAGGGGGCGGTGAGCAAGTGTAGTGGAAGAGTATTGGTGAGTAAGTATGGAGGTAGAGGAGCGGTGAGTAAAAACCCACAGTGAGTGATGGATGAGATATGAACCATGAAGAATATTAACAAAATATTTCATGACCAGACATAAGATAAACAGACACAGGCAATGAGTAAACAACAATTAAATAAACGAATACACGTAAAATTATCCAATTTAATTATAAAAATGTTGATAAAGAAGAACAACAGACAGAAGAGAAAATAGAAACAAAACGGAACAACAAAGAAGAGACGAAGAGGAGACACAAGGCAACTAGAAAGAAACAAGAAACTGTTGTGGAAAGTGGAATGCAGAGAGTGTGACTGATGTGTTCACAGGAGAGGGAGAGAGGAGACATAGAGGTAGGTAGGGGGAGAGGTGGGGTGGAACTGAGGAAAGTGGTAGGTGAGGGGAGAGAGGTGGGGTGGAACTGAGGAAAGTGGAGGTGAGGGAGAGAGGTGGGGTGGAACTGAGGAAAGTGGTTGGTGAGGGGAGAGAGGTGGGGTGGAACTGAGGAAAGTGGTAGGTGAGGGGAGAGAGGTGGGGTGGAACTGAGGAAAGTGGTAGGTGAGGGGAGAGAGGTGGGGTGGAACTGAGGAAAGTGGTAGGTGAGGGGGAGAGAGGTGGGGTGGAACTGAGGAAAGTGGTAGGTGAGGGGGAGAGAGGTGGGGTGGAACTGAGGAAAGTGGAAGGTAGGGGGAGGGAGAGGTGAAGTAGAACTGAGGAAAGTGGTAGGTGGATGGGGGTCTCTGAGGGGAAAGTGAAGGGGACCCACCGAAGGAGATTTAAGGTGACGTGAAGAACTCCCTTGATCTTTTCTCTAAATTATGTATTGCTACAAAATTGAGCAATATTGCACGTGTGGAGCTCCCGAGTAAATTTTATTCGCGATGGCGGATATCGTTGTTGAAGGAGTGATAGCCGGTGTAATCTATCGTGCTTGAAAAAAGGACATAGCCACAAAGCTTGATCACCTATTGTTATTTGGCTAATTAAACTCCCCCTTCATTCTCCTATTCCTTTTTTCATGCTAGATGGGGTACCCGGTACCGAGGCCGATCACGCATCATTTTACCGAAAGAAATGCAATAAAAGGGATGAGAAATAACGGTATTAAAAGGAAACAGTCGCCTACCTTAGCTTACCGCTTAGGGAGCCGGTCAGCCGAGCGGACAGCACGCTGTACCTGTGATCCTGTGACCCGGGGTTCGATCCCGGGCGCCGGGGAGAAACAATGGGCAGAGTTTCTTTCATCCTATGCCCCTGTTACCTAGCAGTAAAACACCCTACCTGGGTGTTAGTCAGGTGTCACGGGCTGCTTCCTGGGGGTGGAGGCCTGGTCGAGGACCGGCCCGCGGGGACACTAAAGCCCCGAAATCATCTCAAGATAACCTCAAGATATACCTTATTCAAACTTACGTCAAATACTTCCCAAATCAAACTTGGGCCTCAGAGCTTCCATTTTCCATCAACATTTCTTTGCGTTACTACAAACAAACTACGATGATAATTTGTATTAAGAAAATGTGTCGACATCAGTGCATTGTATTTTATAATACAGAAAGAAAGAAATATTTGTTTTTAGAGGGATAGACACGGAGCAAAGATCACCAGGAACTTTATTGGGAAGCAATGGGGCCGACCCCGACCCTCCCTCCTTCACCATTCTCTCTCAGACCGCCTGTTGTTTCTCTCTCTCTCTCGTTCTCCCTCCCTATGACACTCTCCATACAATCACAACTTGCCATGAAAAGTTTCGTGATGCTAACAGCAAGCGTCTCTTCTCCAGCTTCGGACAGCTGGAGATATATATATATATATATATATATATATATATATATATATATATATATATATATATATATATATACTATGTTATATATATTTCAGCAATTTAAAACATTCTACAATCCAACAGACTGGAAAACCCATCCAGCCAAATAAAATGCTGCGTCAAAATTGTGCAGCGATTGAAAATGGCAATAGAGAGAGAGAGAGAGATCAGTAATTGCTGTAAGTAATAACAAAAAATTTGAGGGGAAAATGAACCTGCAGATATCTACATGCATAGATATGCAATGCAATAAAACTATACTGTCAGAAAATAGATATTCTTGTACATACTGAAGTGATAGTCAAATCGACATATAAGAGTTGAAGGGATACATATACACTGACAGCTGTAAACAGTTTATTGGTATATACACACTTGAGAATTTACTTTAGTCCTGGTCAGTAAAATATTGTGGTAGCCTTAACTATACTTTTACATGTCAATGACATTCATTGATAACTTAATAACCCTCCTGCGGTTGACAGACCTAAATTAAACCTATCACCACACCCAACATATTGAAAACGTGAATGAAGGCTCATATGGTAAGGACTCATGTCTGTCAACACACTGGTAACTTCATTGGAGGACTGGAGTCCCCCAAGAGTTCATAGGGCACCATCAACCCATGGAACCGCCTACCCGCCGAAGCCGTAAATGCTAAAACATTACTGAGGTGCAAAATCCAACTGGATACAAAATCATCAAGAATAATGAGGGATATTTGACATACAAATATCCAAGCTCGTTAATCCAGCCGACGAAACGTCGTCGTCCCTTCACCTTCTAGTGTGTGGTCTGGTCAACAATATTTCGTAGTTAATATAACGTGGCCCATTATTTGTGTCACTAAAAGGAAAATTGGAAAATTGTTTAAAAGAAATTCACCTGGTAGGAAAGGGATATTTTTTTATGCTGGATATTAAAAGAATGTTGTTCAGTTTCTTCGTTTTATGTAAAAATAATATGAAAGAGTGTAAGGGATCTTGCGGGTTGAATATGCGCAGCCTAGCTTGGTAAGGCTGCTGCATGCCAGGGATTACTCTGAAGAATCTTCCTGCTTACTGAGGCTTTAGTCGAAGAGATTCCTTTGTCAGTGTTCCTCTTGCGCTGGAGGCTGTTTACCAGCCAGTGGTGTCGGTGGGTACAGTGGTTGAGTGATCACACAAGCCTGAATTACAGCTATAGCATTATCATTCATTTATAACTAGTGTAAATACACACGAGGCAAGTGATGAACACTAGTGTGAAATGTATATGTATGCATGTATGACATACATACATACGTACGTGAATGCTAGGTATATACCTAGTTCTCTTCCCATAACTTAAACTACTCGAGTTCTTGGAATTCTTTATCAGTCACCCAAGTATAATTCTGAGGCCTAAATTTTGAATTTCTCTAGTCTAGATCTTCGTTGTGATAGCCTATATAAACAAAGATATATGGTATATATGGTACATATATAATTACTTATTAAAACGCTATATATAAACCATGCATATAATCTTAGCGATTTTAATAATTGCTTCTTTGGCGATTTAATAATTGCTTCTTTGGTCTGACTTACATTTTTAAAGTGCTGGAAAACATTTAACATTTATATGTGACTTTTTCACCATCAACCGTCAAACCCCAAGCAGCAGCAGCTGGGATAGTTAAGGTTAGATAGTTATCAGGAAAAACGCGCTTAGCTGACATAAATACGCCAGTATCCCATCAACCAGTATAAGAGAAAACCACATAAAGCCTTTTATTTCATAAGCATGAAACTCGCTGCCAGCCAACCAGGGCACGTTGGGTCCACACAGGGTCCCAGGAGTACACTGTAGTCATTCTTCGCCATTTCTACTCTTTTTTTTTAAATATTGTATCCTAACTTGACGAAAATTAGAACATTTTGTTTTATACACATTATATACTCTCGTAGTAAGTCACTCTTGACATCAATTGTCTTCTCAGGAATCTTTTTGGATAATATTGACCATAGGCTGTTGCTGGCCAGTAGTAGTAGTGGTTATTGGACGCAGGAATATTATAAATACAGTAATACACTAAGGAGGTTACAGCATTGTATAGTAGCGCAGGCAGCTGCCCCAGGCAAACGAGAGGTTATTGGAGTGCTTCTTTCCCTGTGCTGGTACCTTCTCTCTTCTCTGGCAGCGTTGACACACCTGGAAGTGAATGGTTTTTGTCCAGATTTAGCGATTAATGCTGTTATTGACATGAAAATAGAGACGCACATGAACAGGAAAATAGGGAACACGAAGCTGTTGTTGTTGTTATAGATTCAACTACTCGGAACAAGTTCCAAGTAGCACGGGCTATGGTGAGCCCGTAACTTACCTGGCACAGGAGCGGGGCAAGAAGCACGGGCTATGGTTAGCCTGAACACGAAGCGAACACTTGTACATATATACGTGTGAAGAAAGTTTTTATTTACATTCTCTAAGAGAGGCGAGGTGTAAGGGAAGACGTGATTGAAGGAAAGAAAGGTGTGAGAGGGTATAACGAGGGTGATAGCAGTAGTGTTAGCACACAGTACAACACGGAACAATGTGTATAAATTGGATCAGTTTAGATGCAGGAAATACCTTGGTAAATACTGGTTTGGAAATAGTGCTGTTGAGTTATGGAACAAAGTGTACCTTGTAACACAATAGATGCGAGGTCGCTGGATTGTTTCAAGCGTAGATTAGACATGAATGGACGAGTTTGGTTGAGAATAAATAGTGGCTGCCTCACATGGGTCAATTAGCCTTCTGTAGTTTCCTCTGTTCGTATATTCCCATGCTCTTTAAAACAGATGAACATAAGCAGGCAGACGGACAGACACTCACACACTCACACAAACACGCCCACACACACACACACACACACACACACACACACACACACACACACACACACACACACACACACACACACACACACACACACACACACACACACACACCCCACGCACACGCCCACACAAAAACACACACACAAACACACACACACACAAACACACACACAAACACACACCCACACAAACACACGCTGCCCTATATTCCAATAGCAAAGATGAAAAACACCACGAGGTGATAATGCTAATTCATCTTGTGTGTATAAACAAAAGTTGAACAAGACAGCTAAACAAATACAACCAAGGGCTTATGCCACTGTGAATCTCAAGCACCGCCTCCTGGCTTGCCCACCCTGAGGAATCCATAAGTCAAAAGAGATACAGACCTCTCCTAAGATTTAGTGTGCGAAGCATGTTGCGCGCTCCCAACATGTATCACACTGTATCACTATTGAGTGATGGATACGGTGCGTGTACCTTGCTCCGGCGGAGGGGTATTCCAAGGCTGCACCTCGGCTGACATGAAGATCATGGAGATGGTGGTAGTGAAGATGCTGAGGGCGCCAGCCACGATGAACACCGTGTTCCACCCGCTCACAGTTTGCTGCCGGGGTCGGTCGATGTCGAAAAGCAAAAAATAACATTTTAAAACACAACTGACGAATAACACCAGAGACCAGCTATGATGGGCCTGTTCTCAGAGATCTTGAAATTACTGAACTCAAATTGGAAGACATTAAATCAGACTTCTTTAATAGTTTTAATATAACGCATACAGCGTTAATATAGCGTTGGACTCAAAGCTCAACAAGCCGCAATGTAGGACAGAAAACGGAAGATCTTTCCACTCATTGGGTAATGGAACATGGAACCGCCTACCCGCCGAGAGCATTAATGCCAAGTCATTACTTGAATTTAAAATTCAACTGGAAAAATCCTTGGGGGAAAAAAAATTGTGAGGACCTTTGACAAGCCGCTGGCTTCTTGTTGTTTCGAGGCCGCTAAGGATAGTGGCCCTCAAGCAAATTAAAGCAAATGGCCTTCTACTGACTTAAATGGCCTCCCTCTCCTTCTATTGAATGAGATTCATCTACTGGTTCAAATGCCCACCTCTCCCTCTAATGGCCCAGATGCCCTCTTTTCCTACTGACTCAAATGGCCCCCCTCCCACTAGTCACTCAAATGGTACCCCCCCCCCCCCCCCCCTCCACCTCTACTGACCTCTACTAGGCCCACAACTGTCGGTAGTCTCCCTACTACCGACTCGATCTCGATCACTTTTGTACCGACTTACGTTGTTGTTGGTGATGGCACCGGCGATGACGGGTGAGAGGAAGCCTGTGATGGCAGCGATGGTGTTGTTGAAGCCCACCAAGGTGCTGGCTAGGTTGGGCGCGATGTCCTGCTCGATGAGGCGTCCACCGCTGTAGGAGGTCCCGCTGATGCCCATCGCCAGGATCATGACGACGGCGGCCATGGTGGGGTCACACTTGACGAAGCACGCGGTCAACAGGAGTACGGAAGAGATGTATCCTGAAGGGATAAAAGGCACTTTGTACAAGACTGTTCTTATGTGCTATACGTGGCCAGTGGCACCTCTTGGGTGGCTTAATCTTCATCAATCAAAGACTGTTCGCCAGTCGATTTATAACCTAACTCGATCTTTATTCCAGTGGCATGTTTCTCTAACTTATTTTGGGTCATACCTCACAGGGTTTCCAATCATTCTGGTTCTTCTCGTGTCAATCCGTCACCGATTACCTTATCGATACCTCTAGACTGATCGAGAGTCTTGTGCGCTGTGATTATTACTGGTTCTCCTCGTCATCAGCAGTGAAAGATTTGTAATATGCTGTATCGTGGTGGCTCGGTTTGTTCAGTTATGTCAACATTCCAGGAGGCCTGGTCGACGACCGGGCCGCGGGGACGCTAAGCCCCGGAAGCACCTCAAGGTAACCTCAAGGTAGCACTGTGTGTGTGTGTGTGTGTCTGTGCTAAAAATGCTGTCATACTAGTATGACAGTCTGACAGGAGGGTGGTGTCAGGGGGGCTGACGGTAGTCCAAGCTCTTGGGCTGGACGGTAGAGCGACGGTCTCGCTTCATGCAGGTCAGCGTTCAATCTCCAACCGTCCAAGTGGTTGGGTCACCATTCCTTTCCCTCCGTCCCATCCCAAATCCTTATCCTGACCCCTTCCCAGTGCTATATAGTCGTAATGGTTTGGCGCTTTCTCCCTGATAATTCTCTCCCCCCCCCCTAAAAAAAAAAGATAAAACCCAACACTGAAAGTAATAATATTGTGTTGTCAATTACAATAAAGTGCATCAGTGCACATTTACAGCCATTGGAACAACACAAAAAATTGAAGCAAGCCAAAAGGCCTATGGCAGGAAAAGTTTTTAGTCATGAAGGGGGGTAGAAATAGCCTAAGCTACTCTATCCCTTTGAGATGTATTTTTTCTTGTCTCAATAAACATACTTGAACTTGAACTTGAACTTGGGGCTGACGGGTGAGTAGATAGCGCTCGGGATTCGTAGTCCTAAGGTTCCGGGACCGGTCCCCGGCGTAGGCCGAAACAAATGGGGAGAGTTTCTTTCCACCCTGATGCCCCTATTCACCTAGCAGTAAATAGGTACCTGGGAGTTAGACAGCTGCTACAAGCTGCTTCCTGGGGATGTGTAACAACAAGGAGGCCTGGTTGAGGACCGGACCGCGGGAACGCCAAGTCCCCGAAATCATCTCAAGATAACCAGTCAAGCACAACAAGGTGGTGAGTGTTTTGGATGCTCACCCAGGGCCATGGAGAGCCTCCTCACAGACAGGACGGACAGCACCCGTCGCTTCGTTAGTGCCTCCATCAGCGTACCCCATATTACAGCCACGATGATCAGTGCTAGAGAGGACAGCGAGGCCACCAAGCCGCTCTGTGTAGTGGAGAAGCAAAATCAATCTTCGTGTGTGGTGGTCTTAAATGTTATGCCCCCCTCGTGCCTCACATTATTTCAACAGAGCTGGGTACAGTAAGGCAGAGTAGCTGTAGCAGCTGCTGAAAAGAGGGTACGATTTTTTTTATTGATTAACATGACTATTCGCATGTAGGCGATAAGTCACAAGGCTAAAGTATGTTGACCAGACTACACAGTAGAAGGTGAAGGGACGACGACGTTTCGGTCCGTCCTGGACGATTCTCAAGTCGATTAAGAATCGATTTGAGAATGGTCCAAGACGAACCGAAACGTCGTCGTCCCTTCACCGATTGAGAAGTCGATTGAGAATCGATTTGAGAATGGTCCAGGACGGACCGAAACGTCGTCGTCCCCTCACGTTCTAGTGTGTGGTCTGGTCAACACCATAAGTTACCAAGAGGTACAGCTCAGACACGTAGGGGGTTAGAGTACTCACCTGGGCTATCTTGAAGTGTTGAATGTTGCTGAAGTAGGAAGGCAGCTCAGTGAGGAAGGTGTAGAAGTAATAGTTGGCGCCCACGGCACACATTATGGCCGCCCACATGGGACGAGACGTCATGATCGCCTTCCATGGGATCATTTTAATCTTAAATTAGATAAAAGATACAAGGTTTAAGATACAGAAATAGAATCAGGTACAATACGTAATCCAATAAGTTTTTACAGTTTCTTTCAAGAAATACAAATTTGAAGCACGGTGATAGTTCCTGAATTACAGAAACTATATATATATAATATATATACACACACACTTTTTTAAACACACGCACACATACACAAGAAAGTAAATTGGGTTTATGAGAGTACATAGCATTGATGATTTCACGTTCTTGTAAGGCCACTAACAAGCATAGCGCTTCGGGCAGGTCTTAATCTAACAGATAAATTTAAGTAGGTAATTTGTAGCAAAATTTCAAAATATCAACGGACCAGTTAACCGTTTGGTTTAAACTTGATGTAATACAACTGAAGAGACAAGCGTTTGTGTAGGCATTATATTACTGACAAAGCTGCACACACATTTTGAATTTGAATGATAACATTTACGCTTAATTCCCAGAATATATTAATCTAATCAGGAAGTCGTTGGATGTTGCCACGACGTCCGTGGGAACGCGCTCAAGCGCGAGATCACCCAATCTTTTGTTATTCCAGCTGTTACTAGGTTAATGAGGACGTATTGCGTCCAACCTGCGTTGGACGCAATACGTTGCGTCAACGCAGGTTGGCACAGGTCAACGCAATATTGCGTTGACCTGTGCCAACAGGTTTCTTCTTTACGTTTGCGCTATCTTCCTGCATCGTGATTCATCACGCACACAAATGTACGAAACCTGTGCATCTTGAATCGATTATTGCAGCTTAGTCTTTTGTAAACAGTTCACGATCAAAGAAAAAGCTGTATGAGGTCATCCATAAGAATAATAACGTTGGGTTAAGGGCAGCCTCGCAAATTATTGAGTAAATAGACAAAAACGCCAATTTGAAACTCCATCCATTTCCACCCTTCAGTTTTCTCTCTCCTTACGCTCCGTCTTTTTAAGATAATGAAAATTAATCATTTTTAAATCTTCATAAAATAAGACTCCAAATTCCCCGGGGTTAACTGCACATTTCCTAGATAATGTGTGTACGTTCCATAGCACGGCGTCCAGAACTGACCCGGGGTATCACAAGGGGACCTGACAAGAGCAAGCTGTAAGTTGTAGGGAGACAGAACGGAGAGACGACCCGCTGTGGCTTGGTGAGGCTGTTGTTAAAGATTCGCTACCTGGAACAAAGTTCCAAGTAGCACGGGCTATGGTGAGCCCGCAGATAGTTATTAGGATGAGGCGTCGAGAGAGTCCTGTGAGACGGATAAGGACAATATCATAGTAATTCTTATTACTCTCCCTGTTATGGGTGTCCGTATTCTGTTATTTGGAATATTTATACCGTGCTGCCTTTGCTAAAGAGCGTTACTAATCTTGGTATTTGCTATTACTGCATTTAGTAATTTGTAATTTACTTACAAAATTAGTAATTTACTACAAATTTAGTAATTTGTAGTAATTTGCAATTACTACAGTACTACTATTTGCTACATTTCGTATTATTTTGTTAGGTTTTAACATTTTGTAGCGAATTTGAGTAATCTTTCAATTATCACCCCTATTTTAACATCATCGCCAAATTTGCTAATTTTGCTGTTCAAAATTTTCAAAATCGATTACATATATGGTAAAGAGAAGGACAGATGTCCCATAACATCCCAGTTCCCCACTTACAACAACTTACAACTCACATTTGTTTCCATTTATGCTAACCTAACCCCTGTATTTTCTCTTAAATAACCATGTCCAAATCTAACTAAATATGATAATATTCAATACCATAGGCCTCTACTTTCCTAATCAGCCTCTAGTGAGCTATAGGCTTTGCTCAAATCGAGAAAAATATCGTCCCAATCGCTCACTATAGACTGCTCACAAATGCTCGAAAAGAATGATAATCAATGTTTTTAAAGTGAAATTTTATATTTCTGAATAACCAATTTTAACGAAGAGGTTGAACTATTCGTCAGCGTGTTTAACGTCTATATGGAAATATTGTTTGAATTGGTGAGAGCACCTGTCATTCAGTTGCAATAAGATGCTTATCTTAACATACTAAGAAGGTTAGGTGAGGTCGGTGTTTTCTATGAAGCTTTTCAAGGTAAACTAAAATATTCAGTCAATTAGTATGTCACATATGCACTTATTAAATAAGCTAATATTGACTATAAACAAGTGCGAGAACGGGTTGCAATCGTACAAATCTGGGGTGTGACGATTAGTAAATAATATTAAGAATATATATATCTCTCACCTTACGTGTGACAAGAGAATCCTCATTGGACTGGATGTAGGTTAGCTCGGCGGAAGAGATCCTGGGGTGATGCCTGGGAGTGTCGTGGACGAGGAGGAACCAGGGCACGCACCACGTCAAGCCTACCACTCCGAACACGTAGAAGGTGGAGGGCCACCCTCCCAGGAACTCCGAGTGACATAACCACCCACTTCCCACAGAGCCCACAATCACGCCCACCTGCGTCCCTGGTGAGAGGAGTGGTGGTGATCTTCACCACGTGATTGTGCTTTAATCTGACGAAGGGTAACCTTTCTACACCCCCCACCTACCCTACCCCTTCCTTACATGCATTTTGTTATTTTTCTGATGAAATGCCATCGCCCTGTGGACTGGTCCATGTTAAGGAAGGTAAACTCGCCGGTGATTACCCTTGAACGTGGACGACGTATACTTGAAGATAGTGGACTCATCGGGTTTTTGAAGAACACTGCAGATATATTGAGTGTCCTGGGTGAAAGCAACATTGTGCACATAAGTGTAATTATACTTCGATAGATAATATATTGGTGAAGGTGTAATTGCGTTTGGTTTAACCAGCTTTATTCCTTGCACTATTACTTGCTACCGCCAATTCTTGAGAAGTTACCATTGACTTGGGGTGTGATCATAGAAGAGGCTCTAAGACACATTACGCAGAAAGAACCCTTGGTTACTGGCTCAAGCACGCCTTAATGGGTATATGGGGAGATTGGAAATTATCATTATTTGCCATTTCATGCCAAGTAGAGGATTGGGGCTCGACCCCGAATCGCCCATGGCCATCCCCGGACAAAGACCAGTCACCCTGCAAAGCTTAGTGAAGCTACCCCTAAGCGTCTGAACTCCAACTTCGGATACACACACATTCTCTTTTGTAGATACAAGACATACCAATCATTTTCGCAGCATGACCAACTTTAAATATAAACTGACCTGAGTACATGATGGAGACGAGTTTGGCCTTGTCCTTAGGCGGGAGCCAGGTAGCCAGGAGATGAGACAAGGCCGGGAAGGTGACCCCCTGCAGACATGCCACGTGTGAAAAAAGGTGTTACAGCAAACATGTCACCTGGGTGACATGTTTGTCACCCAGGTGACAAATAGGTACCTGGGTGTTAGTCAGTTGTCACGGGCTGCTTCCTGGTGGTGGAGGCCTGGTCGAGGACCGGACCGCGGGGACACTAAAAAGCCCCGAAATCATCTCAAGATAACCTCAAGATAACCTGTCACACCTGTTGGCCTTGGAGAGCCAGTACTCGTCATTAACAGCTTCGAGACTTGTAATCTTCGTTATCTCTCGGTGAAGCGTTATCTCTGTTGTGCCATTTTGCGTCCGGCCATATTAGATACGACTTCAGACTATTTTTTTTACCACTATTTGGTTATTTTTCTGATTGAATGTATAATTTTTTAATTGCAATTTTTTGTATACGATGAAATTTGTGTTTGCGAGTAAAAAGTAACCTCCATTTTTCTCATAAGCTAAATTGTTGAAAAGATAATCCCATGCTAGACAAAATACAAATATTTGGTGAAAGGTTTTGTGAAACCTGATAGTTTAAAAAAGTGGGATGCTGGGTACAGTAGTGGTGCTTAAAAGTGGAAGGTATTTGTATATATTTATATAACTCAAAGTCATCGTGTGAGAGGAGGGTAGAGTTCGTCTCGGTATGTGGTACGCGTGTTCAAGACTTAGAAATCCTGATATAAAGATGTAATTTAAATAAAAGTGATATACTTACCCCCTTAAACAAAGGTTTAAATTTAATACAGGGATATATTATCCCCATATATACCCCTGTGTATCCCTGATATACAGGGGGGTAATTAAAAAATAGTATATCGCAGTCTCGATGATATTGGTTTTAGTAAAAATTACCATCCACACTTTCGTAGAAATAAACATTCTATTCACCTGGGCTGCATGCTGGGGTCTCGAACCATGGACCCCACGCATGAGGGGTCCACGGATTAAGACCCCATACAGTCCAAGTGAATGGAATCTTAGTCCTAAACTCGGTGCGAGCATATACTAGTTATGTGCCAACCATAACATCTCTAACCACAACTACTTGTACCAACCATGACATATCTAGTCTGGAGGTCCTAGCCCGCAATCAAGTTACGGGCTCACCATAGCCCGTGCTACTTGGAACTTTGTTCCAGGTAGCGAATCTTTAACAACAACAACATCCTAGCCCGCGACGTACCTGAATAGCCCCCTGCACGATCCTGATGAAGATAAAGAGCTCCAGGGAGGCCCAGGCGCAGACAGGGTTCAGGAGGGTGAGGACGGAGCTGAGGAAGACGCTCAGGCCAAAGACAATGCGGCTTCCGAAGTACTCCGCCGCCCTTTCCCCTAAGATCTGCGTGGTAGCGTACCCCAAGAAGAACGACCCCAGTACCAGTCCTTGGGTCTGCTCGTTCCAGTCGAAGTCCCCTTCCTGAGTGTACATGAAAATTAGACAGGGTATGTAATTTTTTTTTTCGCAAAGTATATCGTGATGGAATCAATGAATTGTTATTGGTTATTGATTGTCGCCGAAGGCGACTAGTTTATTGTGCACCCCATACCCATTCTGTGAGCGGTAGCGCAAAAAGCATTACAGAGGGCACAAAAGGTCTTTATCAGACGTCATCTTAGATTATTACATAAATAATTTCATCTATGGTTAAATGTCGGTGATCCGGGTAAATATTATTTGCTATTCCTCATCAAGCGTGAAACTGTCGTTATTACCAAGGATAGGTAATCCTAATGTAATTTCTATATCACATTAGGATTATATATTATCACATATTACATATTGTCATAATATTATATTATACGCCAAGACAAAGCATATTATCACATTTTTTTTACCTTTTAATTCACCGGAGGATGACTGATAACTAAACATTCATTTGTATGTACGTGAGCATATTAGGCGTTGTACGATTACATAAACGGTGTTTTCTTTACACGCGAGTACAAAACGAGTGTTCATGAATGCATCGTCTTTATATACGCAAAAGTTAAATTTAACTGAGGATATAATGTACCTACGTTGAAATAATATTCATCCTACCTCAAGACATCAATTTTACGCTTGATCAAAAATATAGAGAACTGTCAATTTTGTTTCCTAGGAAATTCATAATTGCAATACCTCTCTGAACCCTTTTACCACTCTGGTAAGAGCGCACACTCCAGTAAGGAGTCATGGGGGTTCTGCATCAGAGTACTTTACCCTGCTGGGACTCTTCAGAGAACTCTTCACTAGATGTGGATCACTTCGACCAATCCACACTTCAGACTCTTCTTTTTTGGGGGTGAAAATAAGATCAATGTTGATGACCTCTTCAACGCCTTCCCGAGTCGTCGTGGCACAATTACTTTCCTTTACCCCCCCCCCCTCTCCACGTCCCTAGTAGTCCACAACCTCTCATGTACCGCTCAGTATTTTTGCTTCCCATTCTTGATTTTCTTTTCTAAAGTTCCCTCCGTCCGTACGAGTAAATGAGTTGAAATATTTTCATCCTTAAGATGTAAATGCTAAACTAGCATCCCACACGGTTGCTGGAACATAAATCATCCTAAATTCCCCCAAAAAATCCCAAACCACTTGAGCCACACTAACAATGTCCGTCGTTTTAGCGTGGAAGCTTTTTTTTTAATGTGGTGTAGTGTGGTGGAGCGTTTTTAGTGCAAGAAACGAGTCTCTTACCGTAAGACCGGTGTCGCCGGAAGTGTCGTTACCACCTCCGTTATCCGGGAGAGGACAGGTGTCGTCGAGGGTGGTGTTGGAGACGCGTTTACCCACCATGGGAACGATGGCGATGGACAAGTTCATCCTCATGGTGTACTGTATGGCCACACCCAGGCATGAGACCACCGCCAGGGTGTGTCGCACTCCCCAACCCTCACTGGCTGCAAAACCACACACACACACACACACACTTACATGAATCAAAACAAGTAGCTGTGGAACAGTTAAGGTCTACACCTACACATATGCAGTGAACGTTTTGAGTGTAGCATCACATTACCGTATAATGCCTGATACAACCAACGAATATTAACCATATACAGAATTATATCATTAGTATCTATAAGGATTTTGGTTGAATTAGGCTATATAGACATGCATTTGCAGACGACGAGTCACAATACCGTGGCTGAAGATATGTTGACCAGACCACACACCAGAAGATGAGGGGACGACGAGAGACGTTTCGGTCCGTCCTGGACCATTCTCAAGTCGATTGTCTCTCTTTATCTACTGATATGTGGTTTGTTCATCTTAAACATGCATATCTTTTTTAACTAGTTTAGCTTTGTTTATAACAAAATGGTTTATATAAATCAAACAATGGGTGTCTCACTCACTTTCTTCAGCAGTATGACCGGCGCTTTCCCCCACCTTGAGGGAGGAGTTCCCATGTCCCAGCTTCGCTGAGTTACTAATAGCAAATATTCCCTGGTGATCCCCAGGATGGAGGTGGGGATCCCCAGGATGGCTGGGGCGATCCCCAGGATGGCTGGGGCGATCCCCAGGATGGAGGTGGCGATCCCCAGGGTGGCTGGGGCGATCCCCAGGGTGGCTGGGGCGATCCCCAGGTTGAAGGGCGCTGGGAGCGACGGTATCACTGTGCTTCGAAAACCGTCTCTCCTGTGAAGGTGTGGAGATGTTACTGTCAACCTCTGTGATGGTGCTGAGGGAAGACTCCCTCCTGAGGAACATCTTGCGTGTTCTGATGCTGTTCCTAACCGCTTCTGTGCGAAATAACAATCAACGAGGTCATTACAGGCTGGGGGTATCTATCGTGAGAAGGCACCACAAATCATTACGAGTATATAGCACTTGTAAGGGATAAGATGATGAGAATTTAGGATAGGACGAGGAGGAGGAATAGTGCCCAACCACTTGAAAGGTCGGGGATTGAACGCCGACCTGAAAGAAGCGAGGCTATATCGCTCTACCGTCCAGTCAAAGTGGTTAGGCTTTCATAGAATATAGTATACTCAACGGGTCGTGGGGGTTTAAATTTAAAAAAGTCTGGGGTGGGGGAGGGGGGCGGTTAAATTTCAAAGGGGTCATTGAGGCGGGGTGTAAATTTAAGCGAGTTATTTATTGGTGGTTTATATTTCAGCAATACTACAATGGTGATAAAAATTGATAGTCAAAGCGACAAGAAGCAATAAGGAAGATCAATATCCCCGAAGCCCTGATAAAGTGTATTAGGGAACAACATTATGGTGTAGAAGGGACAAATGAATTTACGAGCACACAAGACGTGTTAGAGTTGGCAATGAAAACAGATGGGTTTTCTCCCATATGAGACCAAATAAAAATGGTTTTCGAAGCTATTTGAAGCGAACCCAAGTTTCTGGCCGTACCACACACGCTCCCTCCACGAGACCACAGAGAGCTATAAGCAACATAACCAGCTGTTCTGCTGAATATAAATGAAGTTCGCAAAACTAGAGAGAATACATTGAAATCGCTTAGATTTTGTTAAATTAACAAGTAAGGTTAGAATATATTTACCTGAAACTTGACAGATTAAGCAGCATAGAAACACACACACACATATAAGCTATGACACGACTAAGATATAATGCGAGGAGAGAATATGTTATTAAACTTTGATTACACTCTTAATTTAAATATAACTTAATAATGCTTTGACACACGAAAGCGCTTGGAATGCTTACTTTATCCTTCCCTTACCTTCACTTAACTATCACATATCGTGTACACATAAGTAGACAGAAGCCATTGGTCATGGTGATAGGCTGTGAACCTTGGTTATGGGAGCCTCTGTGTCCAGCTACATACTTCTCTTGGCAGTCACAGTACCGCCCAGCTTCAACTAGGCTACGCTGGGCTCTGAGCAAGACTCTACGCTCTATACTGGCCGGTGAGGCGGGAGTCCTGATATTCTTATCTTCACATTGATAATTCTGAGTGCCATTTTATATATATATATATATATGTAAACACTCGTCCACACAATTATCTTTATCAGTTAAGCCTTGATAAGTTAAAAATCAGTCACTTCGCTGAAGTTGCTAATTCTTCAGTACCTGCTCTTGAATAATAAGACTTCCATCTCTTGCATACACATCAAATCTGGCATGGTTGTGTTCCAGTTGTCTCTTAAGGATATGATAGGCAGTTGATCCTAAATGCCTTAACTCTGCTGCTGTTCCTATTTCCAGTCATAAATTTATCACCGGAGTAGGAGAGGGCTTGAACCAGCGTCCGGGTTGACATCAGACGCGTCATGTTGCTAACAATAACAGTCTGAGTGTAGTGTTCAGTGATGTTGTTATTAAAACCACCAACGTGAAGGTAACATACGGACGATTCTTCGCGGCAGGGGATCGTATTCCAGGGACCATAGGATTAAGGACTTGCCCGAAACGCTACGCGTACTAGTGGCTGTACAAGAATGTAACAACTCTTGTATATATCTCAAAAAAAAAAAACATTGGGGGTAGTATATTAGTGTATAAATTTCCACTCCAATATCACTGCATAGTTTCTGATGCTTCTTAAAGCTAACAGATTATTAAAATTAAACAATATGATTTTGTTCAAGTATGTTTATTTGAGACAAGACATGATTTTGTAATTGTTACAAAAATACGATTTAACTTAAATCACTAGTTTTTAGAGCTTAAGTATTCATTAAGAATTTAAAATAACTTAGAAGTTAATGTAACCACAATATTTAAGAAAATATAAAATAATGAGCGAGGTATATTGGGAAGATTTGTAAATTTGCATAGTCAAATTGAAATTAATTTAAATTGTAAGTTAGTGATCATATCGTAGTTAATAATAAAATATGTTATTGACTGAATGATATTTTTCGACAGTAGAATACAAAGTGCATTAGAGGCATAATTAAATTTGAGTGCATCAAAGTGCATTAGAGGAAGCTTGCCATTTTAGGTAGTTTTATTTATTTCACGCGATTCAATTTCTTCAATTTCTTTCTTTATTATGCACCCCATACCCATCCGGTGGGCGGTGGTGTAAAGGATTACAGAGGCACATAATATTTCACGCGATATGTTGTTATTGCACATGTTTAGGAAGAGTTTCAAGTCAGTGTTGAGGTATAGAATTCAGATTCATTTATTATGCACCCCATACCCAACTCATGGTTGTTGATCCCGTTGTTTTAGATTCAGCTACTTGGAACATAATTTCCATGTAGCACGGGCTATGGTGAGCCCGTAACATCCCGTGGGTAGTGGTTTAAAAGTTAAGAGGCACATAAGGACACAGCCTAGTATACGTGCATGTTACAGCTGGTATACAAGCACCGTCTGGGTCTGTGGTGGTGGTGGTGTTGTTGTTCTCCTACTGGCTTTCTCCCACCTTTGCTCATAGCAAAGGTACTTCCCCCTTCCATTTGCTGGAAGATTCTTAGAATTGTTAGCCCCCTTCATTGCTACAGTATAGTTATTCGGAAAACTCTTATTCATCCAGGATTGTTAATTATGGAATCTCTTAATTCCTGCTGCTGGGCCCCCTCCCCCCGTTTTTCGTCTCCGTATTGATTCAGCTAGGGTTTACCTCTCGTCTGTGCTCTTGCCTGTCACGATAACACTGCATGCCGCTTCTGCCCACCCTTACTGCCTTATATCTTTCAGCCAGGGGGAGGTGATCTACGCGACAAAAAATCGACGCACGCTCCGACTGGACCAGGTATCGCTTACATGGTCAGGAATCAACACTCTTCGGATCCTACAAGCACAGCGCAGGACGCACGCTTACCCTAGCCCAGCGAGCGCACCCCGGCAAGTTCTACCCGGCCCGTGCCCCAAGGAACAGGCAACACTTCTTCAGGGCGATTAATTCGCGCCGCCCTCGCAGAGCTAGGCTCGCCTTCAGCCGACCACGCCCCTCTTACCTTTAGAATTGACAGGGCCACTCGGCTCTCTTGACGGGCTCGCCATCGGAGATAATGGCGGGTCCAGCAACCAGCTGGAACCCCCAGCTGACTACGTCCGGGACGTTGTTGCTCTGCCACTCTGAGGCCTCCTTGCGACCAGCGGGCCTCGCCCTTCGGGGGGGGGGGGGGTCCGGCCAGCTGGCCTGCGGTGGGGGTGCAGCGCCGGTCCCCAAGTGTCCCGCTGTCCGCAGCTAATCCTATGCCCAGTCTAGGTGCTAGTAAGAGTCAGGAAACACTTCTTATTCCTTGGCGGCTGGCCTCACGCCCTGGGAAAAACTTCTCCCATTTGTCATACCAGTTTTCCCCAGTCACTAGGTATTTTCTGCCCGCCTGTTAATTCTAGGATTTCCCATTATGTCTTGGTAGGGCTCCGTTAAGTGTTGTGTCTATACACTTTATTTCCCCTTTGTGTCCTGACTGTTATACCTAGTTCTGATTATATTTCATCTGCCATTAGGTTTCTGCAGAACGTGTTTGCCATGTCTAGGCTATGCTTACTACTACGGGGGTACATTTTAAGTTAATTAGTCCTCAGACATGGACATGTTACATTTGTTAATTCCTACTTATATTATTTACATGTTCTGCAGAATTTAATTTACTAATAAAAAATTTAAGCCCATTCGGCCTGTGTCTTTTTCCCCCTGGTCAGAAAAAACAATTTTTTTTTTTTACCGACGCTCTCCCTATTGATGAGAACTACAACCTAATGAAGATAAATGTTAATTTTATGTAGATACTGTAATAAACGAAAGTTTTTAATGTCATCAGAGAAGCAGAAATATAGGCAAATTTTAAATCCCTTGTCATAAATATAACTGAAGTGAAAGCAAAGATATATGCATTTTGATAGTTACAAAGACAGCTCTTTAACACGGGTGGAACACGAACAAGGGGAACTTAGTACCCAAATGAGCCACAGAGATATTAGAAAGAATTTTTTCAGTGTCAGAGTAGTTAACAAATGGAATGTATTAAGCAGTGATGTGGTGGAGGCTGACTCCATACACAATTTCAAATGTAGATGTGATAGAGCCCAATATGCTCAGGAACCTGTACACCTGTTGATTGACGGTTGAGAGTCGGGACCAAAGAACCAAAGCTCAACGCCTGCAAGCACAAATTAGGTGAGTACAACTAGGTGAATACAGCTGAGGGGCGGGACCAAACAGCTGAAGCTCAATTCCCTACGCATAACTAGGCGAGTCCATAGGAATTACCGTTTTGTCCTGGCGCCATCTATGTTTTGACAGCAGTACTACTAATGTTCCCACGTTATGTGATGATCGCTATACGGGTGTTATGGTCAGTTGCTCTTCTATATATGTTTATGGACAACGTAGGTGATTTGAGGCAATTTGCGGCCAGAGTGAAATAGTATCCACGCGGTGAGTGATGGAGGAAGATATATATTGCTGTGTACTCGACCAGCGGGTGAGAGGTAAGTTATATCGAACAATTATGGGGAATAGATGGGTTATTTTAAGCGTAGAATGTCAGGTAACCTGTAACTACACAGATGGGGTAGTGTTTTTTAAGTCTTTATTTACTAAAGTGGAACATTACATTATGCCTTTAGCTGAACACGTCTACTGGTGGGGGAAGTAGACGGGTTTTATGAAAGTATTTTACCTAAATATTTGTATTTGGTTAACTAGTTCAGCCGTTACCAGGGAGGGTGTTCCTTTAATCTAATCTAAAAATTCTTGCCAGACAGTGATTAAATAAAGAAATTGAATAGAACGAAGTGGTTTGCCAGGGTGCTAAACATTTAGTTTAGTTCACTTACTATGCAGCCCATGCTTAAAGAATGCAAGTTTATCATATTGAATTTACCGTAGTTTTACTGCATTTAATATACCGTTTTTACCCTATCTAATTATGTCGGGTAAAGGCCGGTCGTGGAAAGTTCCTAATATAGCAAGTTTTAAAGGAAAAGTTTGAGTTAACTTTAACGCTTAAGTTGGTGACCAATTGGCTTAGTCTATTGTGAGGAAAGTTACTAGAATCCAACATTGCAAGTGCCATTTCTCTACTCTTTTTGAGAAACAGGATAGATACATGAATCGCATAGTTTTATTACTAAATGTTCATGGATTAGGTTGCATAGTTGAGGAAATGGTGATAAGGTTTGTGATTTTGTGTACCTTGACTTCAGCAGAGATTTTGATAGTAGCGCAAAATTGATAGGGGCTCGGATCATTGGGAATGCTGACTGAAGTTGATTAGGTCATGGTTATACCAAAGGAAATCGGTATAAATGGGGTTAAGTTGGGAGAAGTGTTGTAAGTAGTGCCTAAAAGCTCTCCTTGGACCTCGGTTATTCGCAAGATTATGGTTTAGACTGCAATAGTTGCAGAATTGGCAAATAAAAAATACCGATGCCCTATATGGTTTTGAAATGGTTAAGACTACCAGATGCAGTTTAATGCTGACAAATGTAAGGTTTGGGGCTAGGTAAAGATGAGATAGATGGTGTAGATTGTTAAGAGTATTACATTTTTTGCAGGTGGTAAATTCTCCCCGAGCTGGCACTGCTCTCCAGCCTGGGATGTTGATTGGTTAGTCTTCAACTGCCTCCCAACATGGTAGCGAGGTCCTGAGCTGACATGCAGTGAGGAACGTGGAAAGCTTCCTGAATTGGCACATGGTATGCCTCCCTTTCAAACCCGCAGCTGGCACAAATGTTCCAGCTAACGTCAGAATAGTGTATGAAGCCCACACTAAAATGTAAGTGGTACAGTAAATGGACACCCCCCCCCATCCCTTTTGACACTGAACAGTTGGGAGGAAAGGGGGGGGGGAGAAAGTGTGGCTTATAGTTCTATTGCTACAGAATCTTTTGCCATAAGCCAGTGGCAGTGCCTATTGGCACTTGCTATTCAGAATCTCCCCCTTACATAGTTAATTAAAAAAGAAATGCTGTAGACAAGCTTAACTTTTGAAGGGGGCAACATTTT